GTGAACAGGAAGGAATTGGAGGAAAGGGTGGCCATTCTAGAGTCCCGGCTGGCCGAAATTCCCTGGACGAGGCATGAAATCCAAATGCGGCTTCACCGAGCCGAGAAACGTCACGGGAGGGAAGGCGGACTCTGGAGTGGGCGACTGACATTGTGACAGTTGAAGAGGAGCATGGTCACCGACGACGAAAGCTTCGAGGACGTAGTCATGGCGGGAGGATTCCGGGAACCGTTCGTGTCTCGTCGGTCCCGAGTGGAGGTGAAAGCTCGGCACATCGAATGTGGCCCACGCTGGACGACGCTGATAAAATAATCTGAATCAAAGTCAAGTTTCATGGATAGAGTTTCTTTCATCTTTGGGTCCGCCATGCTTGGGATACGAGGGTGTGTGCTCGACTCCTGTAGTCTTCCCGCCAGCTCGTTCTTCCATAGTTCGGTTCGAGGCGAGAGGACGGGCCCGTACACTCTCATTGTGTCATATACATTCTTCCGCGCTCTTCGGTATCGGTTCCACATTTCGCAGGTCGAGGAAGGTTCTCGGACTTAAATGGGCGCAATACTGTATACCCGCGTGTCGGCTAGAGGGAGCGGAGCCCATCCTGTCGACACGGACGCCAGCTCAGTCTGAGATTTGTCTCATGGTCATGCAGACGAACTGCGGTAGCACCTAGTGCGCGGAATGACATTCCAATCGAGTAAGCCTCTAATTATGTGGTACTTCCTCTTATTATGACAGACATCCAGTCTGAGATCTAGCTCATCAGCCCGAGTGCAAAGACGGCTCAAGTAACTGCAACGGTTCGAACGGAGTACAATCATCACATGTACACCCCACAGAGCGGTAGAAAACTACCAAAAGGGAGATCGAGAAAGGATTGCGATAGATCGTTCGACGGTCATGAAAATGTAGCTGCAGAAGCGGGGCGGCCACCCCCCCCCAACCCCCAGCCCCCGCGATTTCAACCTTTGACGTGCCTCGGCACAAGTTGTGATGGAGGTCACTCACACCTACGTTTCGGAAAAGATTTTATGTAACCCCCGAGGACAGTTTCTCGAACTCTATCGGCGCCTGTTGAGTCGGATGAAACAAAGGCTCTTATACCCAAGGATTCCAAAAGTAAATTAGCGGCTGACTATAGTACATACAGTTCAAGAGCAATATTTCTAACTATGTACGTGAAATACTCACATATGGTATACCTCTTTTACCTTTACGATTTTGCACAGGAGACGCCACATTGTGCTATGATGTAGTGCTCCTTAGAGTTCCGACTGCTTCTGTACACTTCTCCGTACTCTCATGTTGTCAAAGGCGCTGCCCAGCCATTCCAGTCGTCGACTAAAAGCTCCATCCGGTGTGACAATAGATTTCAAGCCGAAGTGTTTCAAGTAGATTTCTCGAGTGGCAACATTGAGTCAAACACCTCCTCCGACGCTCAGGGAGACCATAGAAGTGATCTGGGAGCCTAGCAACCATGCTCCATACTGCAGCACGGCCAACGGAGTGGCAGGCATTCTGTCACGTGACTATTATCGGCATATCCTCGGCTAGAAATAACGCCAAGAAAAAATCTAGCCCGCCGATACTTTGCGCGTTCAGCCAGCTTTTGTCAAAGCCGCGATTGATATCGTACTGTTGTCCCCGAGAATACATGGGTTTCACGTGTGAATGCTTTTTATGTGGACTCGAAATTGACCATCACTTGCTAAAGGATGATCAGCGTCGATGGCAAGGCGCGGACCAGTCATTCTTCGATGACACTCCACATGCGGGCGCGAGTGAGGTTACCCTGACCATTGATTTGACAAATGACTTCTAATGCTTGTAGATGGCTCGGTTCATCAAACATGCTACAATATTGCAAGGTCCCACCCCGACTTCCTCAGCCTCGATGTGAACATGCTCCCCCTTTTCGCCTCTTACATGCGGGACGCGCAAGCGCAACTCAGATCACTCAAGCCCTCCGCAGCTCCTCGATTCGAGATGAATGTCCCTTTCCATAATTCCCTATTCGAAGCTAGATCTCTTACCAAAACGGAATCCGACTTTCAACGGCTGCCCCTTGAGGTGCTTGACATGATCTTTAGGGACCTTCCTAATCACCAAGATGTGACCTCTTTTTGCTGGACCACTGGCTTATTCCCCTCTAGTACCCGCCCTCTTACTCGGAGTTTTGGTACGGAAGTTGGCAATATACAAGATTCATCTCCCCCCGGACGATACATTTTGACGAGAAGTCCGGGTCTGACGAATTACCTCACAATTCTGGAGCGGGTTGACTGCATCCTTGGACTGATGGGAAAGTGTGGAGGAAGTGTACCCGAGCAGCCAGTGACGTCGCACAACATGGTCAGAGAGCAGAACTTGACGATTCCAGAGGATGCTGTGGATTTACAGTTCTGGTACACGCGACTTCACAGACGTGTTATATTCACAGGTATCAGTGTTGATACATCCTACATTGGGGCGGTCAAAGGGACGCCATGCACAATCCCTCTGTCGACACCCTGTGGTTTACGGGTATTGTACAGCAACGGAGGGATCCTCGATGTGCGAGTCATCTCAAATGGAACTTGGACGAGCATTCTCGATGGCCAGGGCATCGATCTCCCGCATTTGAACTCCACCTCTATTCGGTGTACTGAAATCCGCGATGTGTGTGGGCACAGGATGGTGGGTTTCTTTGATGTTGGTTCGACCCTCTACCAGACGTGGCACCGGTTGACCTTTGGCAGTCGATCAAATTGCTGAGACTTCAGCTCTGCGATGAGATTGATGCAATCCACCCGGGGAGTTGGACCTGGAAAAGCCAATTTCCCTCTGTCTCCCTGAACCCCGTCCAGATCATTCCGCCGTACGCCGGGGCGGAATGGCAAGTGCTCAGCCTGGAGAAGGATGTAAAGGCTTTCTTTGTCTATGTGACGGGTCATAAGCTTCAGATTGCAGGCCTGGGTGCTCAGTATCAGGATGAAAGCTTCGCTTCTATTGGTACTACTGACCCTAGTGTCATCATGCTGACACTACCGCTTGGTGTTCGGTCAAAGGATGGCCAAGTCGGATCCCATTCCGTTGAAGGCTTCGAAATTGGATTTTCACGGAGGAACCACTCGGTTTGGCTCAAAGTATGCAAATCCAAGTCAAGTCGAGCAGCAAACTGAATCAAGTAGGTGTTCTGCGCCGGCACGGTTTTATGTGTTGGCTGCGATGCGTCAGCGTCGGGACGTTGGTTCCAAGCACCCCCAGCAATCGCAATGGCATTTCAAAACTCACGAGGTGGAACACCAATCGGAACAGGATTTACTGTCCTGCATTCCCGGCCAGAGGTGTCTTCCCTCTCATCACCTCCACCCTTTCAACCAGGTCGTACGTACCAAGTCTACGATTTGCCGTTCCAAGATTCCATAAACGACCTGATATTGTCCCAAGCCAGCCTACGAAACATTTCGCGAGTTTTGGCGTACAAGAGGTCGCCTGACATGGCCCCTATCTCCGGGCTGATATTCGAATCCAATCTCACTTCTCAACGTGTAATTGGAGAGGCCAGGTTTGAGATTTCACGACATGACATTCCTGAAGACGACCAGGTTGCGGAAGTCCTTGTCCATTATGAGCCATTTGAGCAAAGGAGATTTGTGATAGGCTTGCGTTTACTCTTGGGTTCATCTCGAGATATAGTGATCGGCAATGTTCGCACTCCCGCCGTCGAAACATTTAATGTGTCTAAGGTATGTCGGTTCTAGCTCCCGAGATTGCCGATGACCTTTTGCTCACACTGTCCAGGATGGTACTACGGTGGTACTATCCTTCAACCAGACATTCTCAGAGGTGTGCCTACATCAAGGCAAGTGATATCTAGCCGCAGCTGCCAAACCCGCACAGTGACTTTTGAATTTCCCATTTCCTGACCATTTCCTTCTGTCATTAAAGCACGGATTTTTCTTGATCTGATCAAAAAACCACAGGCACTTGCCCCAGTCTTCCTTGAGATCGTGGTAATCTTGGCTCCAAATGGACAAACCACTCTGCCGCGAATATCCCACACCCGCCCTTGTGCTGGGCCAAGATCTTCTTTATCGGCTGGTTTGTCCCTGCCAACTTGTCAAAATTCGTGGCTTTCACTTCCTCAGTTGTAAAGTACAGCCGAAGAGCCGAATCAAAGGCAGTAATCTCTGCCGGGGACAGCTGGTTTGCCACTCGTGTACAGAAAAGCTCGCAACTCTCCTTTGACAACTGGGATACTCGTAGTTCACTCAAAGCACGTCGGAATTTGATCGCCATCTCATCTTCTCCTTGCTGCCGCATGACTTGAACCAATCGGATCGTCCCATTGAACGCACGATACAGCTGGTGGCCCTTAATCGCGTCTATGTGTGAGTGCTTCAGGGCGTACAAAGGTTTCCCTCCTACGGGTGGCAGCTGGAAGAAGTCCCCACATAGTAGGACGTTCACACCTCCAAACAGCTGGTCTGTAGTGGTTGGACGAATGGCCCGAAGCCGATCGTCAATTAGAGAGAGTGTTTGAACATCAATCATTGACTTCTCATCGATAATAAGGAACTTACAGGGTAAAAAGGGAGCTTACAAAGACTGCAATGTGGCCACTGACAAATCCGACTTCCTTCCTTTGACCGGGAGCCGCAACAGACTGTGCAATGTCTTCCTAATGATATTGAACGCGGCAATGCCTGTCGGAGCAGCCCGAAAAACAGGGTTTGGCATTCCAGCTTCAGCGGCCAGCTCCTGAATGCGGGCACACGTCTTCAAAAGGGTGAAGGTCTTCCCAGACCCAGCTTCTCCGTCCACATTCAGAAGAAGCTGAGAGGGCCGGTACAAAGCTAACTCCAGGGAATACTGACTCACCACGGTGTCGTAAAGCTTCCTTTGCTCCGTATTCAAAGGAAGTGGTGAAGAGTCAATCGTCACCAGCTGAGTCGTGGGGTTTTCGGCCTTCATTTGCTCCCACACCTCAGGAGGTATGTTGTACCAGCCGACGTGTAAACCCAATTGTAGGTGCGGTCTATCTCCCGACCGCCTAGGCGATCTAACCCGTCTATTCGGGTGAAGTCGTCTTGGGGTCTTCGGCGAGCAAAAGCTTCAAAGTCAGCCAGTGGGTAGTCATTCAAAGCCTGTTCTTCAACATCTTCATCACTCTCGCTGTCTGAATCTGACTCGTCAGCTTCGCCATCAGCCTCTGGATCAGCTTAAAAGTCCTGTGGGTGGGTGTGTAACTGGGTACAGGACCCAAAGGCCTCAACATAGATAAACCTGGTCTTCCACCGACAGCAAATCTTCCCAAGCCACAAACGGGTGGTGTAGCATCAGTTTCACCCGGCAGTAGTCAGCATAACTGGGTGAATTCGGGTCGTTCAAGTACCGGGGGTAGTAGTGAATGACTCGTGGACTGGCCCTCGGCCGAACCCTCCAAGTCACCCAGTCCCAGTGCCGTAAACAGTCGAACAGTGACAGGTTGGGAAGGGCCAGGTTTCCGTTCTGTGTATCTGCCAATCGATCCCGATATCTCTGTACAGCAGAACGCTGAGCGGCAGTTTCCCCCGACTCTAAAAGAACGATGAGGTCACGTTGAGCGTCTTCGGGTCGACAATCCAAGCTAGCAAGCATCCGAGAGGACTTCCTTATAGAGTTTGATTAAGCTGAAACGGTCCGACTGATACTTATACATTTACAATGATACCCTGCGAATAGATACTTCTCAGTATCATTACCGCCAAAACCCAAACAGTGAGACATCGAGATACTGGCAACGGCCACTCTCTCAGAGATCGACCGCCGTTGTAGCCTCTTCCCCCGACCGAAAGATTGCCCAAAGAACTATTTTGTCCTTCAACAGCTCCATCTTCTCCTCGCTCTCATCATCCGTGCCACCGTCAATTTTGTGACCTTTCCATACTAATTCATAGTAGGCTCCGCTTCCCCCGAAGAGGTCTTGAAGGCGCCGGATCGCGTTCCACAAGTCTGCGACTTTCGGCCGGAACACTTGGGCTCCAGCTGATGGAACAAGGACGCCTTCGTCAAGAAGTTTTGCAAATGCAGTGGCATCCTGGGACATGGTATCGCTGCTGCATCCACCATCGAGAATGTGAATTATCTCGTTCCATATTGTCTGTCGCATTCGGACCCGTTGACTCTTTTCAACCGGGCACATGGACACCACCAAGTCCTCAATCCTTTCCAAGAGTTGTTTGACATGGGATTTGACGGCGGCCGTTTCCTTTTCGTAGAAGTCCCCAATTCGCTCTGATGGTGCCGACTGGTCAAGATCTAGTCGAGGACGTTCGAGAAGATCAACACGGGAGCAAAAGGAAATATGGGAGATCATGTCGCGATACCAACGTCGTGGGGTGATACTTATTGATGCCCCGGAGGAATCTGATGTTTCGTTGTTTGGTGACCCGCTCAGAGGGCGACTGCGAGGGCAGGGAGACACAGCGATGATAAAATTTCGGCGTCACCTTAACAAATCGAGAATGACTGAAAACATATGTGGATCTGTGACTCTTGAGAGGGTATGAGCATTGGGGAGACCGAGGACGCGTCTGACTATATATAGTTAACTACAGAGGTGTTCTGCTAGCGCCTGGGCGTCTTCTGACGTAGTCAGTAGCGTCGGATACCTCTTAGGAGTTGGAAGCGTTTCGAAGGGCCTAAAGACTGACGGCTTCACAGATTGTACTGTCCCTATCCGACTAGGCCTCAAAGCGGCCACCTATACACGGCTGCGTGACATCGCATCCCACGACCGAAGGTCTACGAAGCGGTGTGCGGGCCAGTTTGTCGATTGGTCCAGCCGCCTCTTTCAAGGGGTGCTGCCCAGACCTTTTGTTCACTCACCTCGATTGTGGTGGTTGCCTAGCCGCTTTCGCTGTGTACTCAAACGCTCCGTGGTGCCCTTCATCGGGCGGCAGAGCACGAGATACGTTGAAATAGGACGACAGCCATTCGTCATCAGGGCCACAATAGGATACTCAGGGGAGGGGTCATTGTATATCTTCTTCCTCGCCGTGGAGCGCCTTCATCTGGTCCTCGCCCAAAGCGTAGGAGGAATAGCGATATGACCTTGAGGTATTGTGGCCGAACCCCTACCCTTTCAAAATCCCCTCCCTCTCCTACCAACTCGAACCTCCCTGTCCAAGGCAGTCAGCCGTGATTCTGGATGTAGCAACGGAGGTCTGAACGCCGGGGCGGACTAAGGCGATTTCCCCCTTTCCCTTCCGGGACTGATGATAGTCTCGGTCTCAAAGGTCAAAGGTGCCCTGAGCTCAACTATTTTATCCAGTTTACCGAATCTAGTGCTAAGCCCGGAGCCTCTCCTCATAATGGAACACCTTCTATTTGGAAATTTGAAAAGTGCAACAGCCCTCCGATCATTGATGTCGAGGTGGCGACAGGCTTCGGTAGCGCCTGGAAGGCCTCAACCACCTTCACGGGAAGAGCATCACGCATCGGGATCTGAAGCCCGAGAACATCCTCTTACGCACCAAGACACGTATCTATGCCAAATTGACGGATTTTGGACCGGCACAGGACGCCATACACTTGAAGACTTTCTGCGGGAGCTCTCATCATACCACCCCAAAAATTTTCCCAGTCATTGTCACACATGCAAGGAAAACATCTGGTAACTTGCGGTGATCGTCAGGGAATTGATATAAAAAGCCCGGTAGTAGGGTCGGGGGCTTATGTCTATGCCTGGCGTTGACAATCGGTCTATTTGATTTGAGGCAGCATTTACCGTCGATGCTTCTCATAACAGAAAATTGCTGGATCGGTGGACGACACTAATGCGGAACAGATCTGGCTTCCCAGCTGGGAGTCGGCCAGTGGCCGTGGCCGTACCTCCACTAATCTCTAGGATACGCCGTTAATTTACCGCTGGTCCCGCCCCCCCCGAGTCACTTTGGGCCAACTTCTTTCACTACTTATCTCACCAGCCTCCACCTCTTCCTTTCTCTTCTTGTGAGTTGTCAATGTCAAGGCTAGATCGACTTGACTTGTCCATCCACACGTTGATACTCTCCCCTGAGCATCTCGCCATTGACCATCTTCCCCGCTATTGACTTTCAGCCTTGTTCTACACGACGTCACTTCAACGTTCTCTATTCTAACACCAAGACCAAAACCCATTGCCCTAAACCTTCCAACAACCATGGGCAAGAAATCCAAAACAGCCGCTGTTTCCAGCACCCCGCCGACACCCACCGCGCCCTGGATTTACATCAACGACTTTGAGGATGGCATCCCTCACATCGGACACTTGCACACCATGCTTCCTGACTCTGTCATTGTCCACAACCGAACCGAACCCGGCATCATTGTTGGGCCACCCGAACTCCTCCTGACCCATCTTAGTTCCAAAACCGAAATGCCCCTCATTGCCGACAATATCTCCACATCAAGTGAGGGAGACCTGACCAAGAAACTCCCAACCGTCAAGACCCTCCGCGACTCTGCCATCAAGAGCGGCTGTAATTTTGTCAGCGTCAACATCTACGAGGACGACGGCACCGGCACCAAAAGGGAAGACTTGTGGGAATGGAGTCCCAACCATCTCGAGATCAAGGGTGGTGCTGATGACGAGGAGAGCCAGAAAGCTGTCGCTGAGAAGATCTATCGTTGGCTATGTAAGCCCCTGCCTGCCGCTTCCCCCTTTTGCTTCGATATGAAAAGGTCCTGAGCGAACCTAACTCCAAATCCTCCACACAGTCAAGGCCCTGACACCACACGAGACCATCCACCTGATCCCGGAGTCCGAGATGATGGTCCGCGACACCGAGTCTTTCCCGGACTATGCGTACTGTCCCATCAACGAGCTCGAACTGCATCCCAAGAATGCCAAAGTCCAACTCGTCGTCATCGTACTCACTCGGCCGGTCGTTGGTCCGGATCAGAAGTTGACCTGGAGCGTGGCGGACAGAACCGGTGTGGTAAGCAAAACCAGTGCCCCTCATTCGTTCTCTATCCCAGAGCACCTACCTACAGGCTACCAATTGGTGATATCTCCAACTAACACCATGTCTTACCCTCCCCCACAGGTAAACTTTTACTTCCAATACCGTGACACCCGCAGCCAATACACATGGGACTGGTGCCTGGCCCTCCAACCGGGCGACCGCAAAGCCCTGCCCCGCATGCCGATGGTCGAAGTCAAGGAGCGCAAGCGCTTCGCGATCGCCAAACCGCCCTTCCGCGGCATCGGGCTCGCCATTGCCAGCGTCGGCGCCACGATGCGAGCGGTCGGCCACGGCGTAGCCAAATTCGGATCTGTGATCAAGATGGGCACCTCGTCTCACTGGGTTCCAGACGGCGATGTCACAGAGGACGGCAAGGTGACCGACTGGGCCCAGGTCCGGGATGATGGTCAGAAGATCCCTGCCGTTGTTAAGGTGTATAAGGAGAAAGGTGAGAAGTTGTGGAAGGATGACGATAGCGTTACGAGCACCGAGGCTGGTGGTGAGGGTGTCAATGAGAAGGAGCTTGTGTGATGAGGGCAGGGCCGTCTTTCGATCTTACGGAGGTGCCTGATGATGTTACGGTGGCAGGCGGCCTGCTCTCGGCCCCGTTGCAGCCAGTCCCCTTCTCTCCTTGCTCACACATCATACCAACTCTGTGCTAGAAGAAGTGGCGTCTGAACGATCCGAAATCGAGTTTACGTCCACACACCACGACAACCAGGCGGCCGGCCACACCAGAGGTGCGGGCAGGCTAGGTCACCACAGTGCGTCTGTACGTGCATGGCCTCCTGGTCACGACGGTCACTAACTAGGCCCGCCCAGCCTTACAATTTTGAGCTGTTTTCGTCTGACGAGGTCGTCGTCTAGGGCCATGATTAGCTCCCTGCCGCGGATGATCCGTTGGTGAAGGGCGTTGGGGAGTGGATTGTGTTTGCGGTGTCGCTGACTCAGAAATCGAAGTTCTTCTCACTGACGAGTTTGGGCTGACCTTTTGAAATCATCGTACCTAAATATCACCCCCACATCGTCATGACTGTTGGGATCCAAAGCAGAGAGAACGCAAAGGAAAGCCTCTGAATCTCTTTACGAGTCTGAGCCCAGCGAGCGACTTTCCCCTGTTCCCCGTACCAGATTTAGTTATGAATCCCTTGCCGTTGAGCAAAAATGGCATAAAGGCGAGCGAAAAGCGCTCACGGAGTTGTCAGGCAACAGGCGTGATAATCGCTCCCGGAAAAGGCCAAAAATGACTTTTATGGGATACGAGTTGTGGTGACGTAGATCTGTGTGTCAAGTTTGAATGCTTCCAGAAGTTTCATGCTCACAGACATAGAAAATAGCTAGTTATGGGCATAATAAGTCCGCCAATACCGATATCGAGGCATGCAAAGTATGGAGGTGGCACGCGCTAACCCAAAAGAGCACCCCACGTATCCGCGGGGGGGATAGCTGGGAGGGGGAGCATTTATGCTCGTCGGAGGCAAGGTGTTTTAAATATCTCTCTCCCATTATATAGCAGCCACTACCGCTCCACGTCCTGAAAAACGGTTTGGATAGATCTCCAAATTCCACAACGCTCGTGAGGTGGCATCCGTCAAAGATCCACTCGTCTTCTCTTCGAAACTCAATCAGCTATGGAATCATCATCAGAGAGAAGCATCGATTGCCTGAACCTATCGACATACTCGGCAAGCCTTGGAACCTCTTGGCGCTCAAGTTTCCCTCCACAGTCTCTGTACCCAAGCAAGTTAAAGAGCGTAACAGATAAGATTCCAAGGAGGGTTCAGCTAGCACCTTCTCGGATGAATGGATCACGAAAGCACTCATATAGGTAGCAAGGTTAACGCACTGTCTGGTTTGGGAAAAGAGCATTCTTGGTGGTCTGTGCTTGTCCGCAAAGACCACCACCACCTCGGGGAAGTATTCTCCTATTGGAGACAGTACGTGCTTACGATTTCCTCTCAATGCGGGGTCATCGTGACTGTCTTCCTGCTGTTCTTTCCTCTCACATCCAGGAACTAGAACAGCCGCCTCATTACCGGTCTCTCTAGCACGATGGCGAGTGTGCTTACGGCTGCCACCTGGGACCCATTACAGTATTGCAACTCAAAGGAGTTGTCTCGACTCGATGAGAGATTTGATTTCGCACTGCAAGATGTGACCTGCCTTGTTTTTTGGACGGGCGTGCCGCCTGAGCTTGCCCGACGCTGGGCAGAGGAACACGGGCTACCGACATTGACCCTCGCCATGGGCACCTTGTATAGCGATCGCCATGCAGGTAGCGTGAGATATAGCAAGACCTCGACGGCTTGGACCAGGTATATGAAGGCGGCTTCCGGTCGATTTGCAGAGTACGCATGCCGTGGTGGCCGCCAAGCTGTTGTTCTCACGAAACCTCCTCCAAGCATCTACAGCTCCAGAAGACGATCGAACTACCGGGACTTGGAAGAACCGATTCTGAAAGGAGTCGTTGGCGGACCTGGTACCCTCCGAATTGAGTATGCACATCCCACGGTTGAGGGCGGAGCCACTTTTCAATATCAGATCTGGCCCCTCGATAAATCGAACATGTGGCAGACCTTCATCGCGAACCTGCTAGCAAAGGGACGTATCACTCGTGATTATATATCTGCCGAGGATGATGTTGCTATGAAGGT